CCTCACCTATTAAATTTAATATAAACTTGAGAATCGAATACAGAATCGAAGAGAATCGTTAGGATCCTTATTCTCAAGTTTATATTAAATTTAATAGGTGGGATATATTCCATTATTATTTTTAATAGTGTTCTGAATCTTATGTGATTCTTTGTGATTCTGTTCGATTCCAATTTTCAGAACTATAAGTGTAATAAATACATAACTTTTATTATAAAATTAATTAAGATTACAAATATTATATATATATAAACAGTCTATTAACTAATACTAATATTAATTAATATTATTTATTTTTTTATTATTAAAATATTAACTTATATTTTATAGATATATTTATATTTTGGTTTATACTTAGTAAGATTCAATTTTAATTTTTTTAATATATTAATTATTACTAGGTTCCTTATTATATTTATATCTCTAACTTACATATCTATAGTATATATAAACTTACTTCTTTATACTTTCTAGTAAATACTTTAAGAATTGTTTTTATAGTTAGTACATATTACCAAATCTGAAAATTGTCAGGCTAAATAGAATGTAATTCCTAAATTTTTAAGTAAACACTTTATAGATTCTTGATTAACTTAAGTTATTAAATCTAAAAGTACAAATATTAAGCAAAATGCAATTCCTATAAAGTTGTTATAGACTTCTTCCATATGCTTATATTCCTATAATAATTATCAGAAAAGAATATAGGCTTGTAATAGAAGTTAAACCAAAAACCTTTTTTAATAAATCTTTTTTACTTTGATCTGTTTTTAGCTTACAATTATTGAGAAGATTAAAAGATTTATTTTTATATAAAATTGCTTATAATTATATAAACTTTAATTTAAAAATTTTTAAGTTTATTTAAAAATCAAATTTTATTTAAAAAAAAATTTTTATTAAATAAATAAAAAATAAATACTATCAAAAAATAATATATAATTAAGCTAATATTATATAAAATTTTAGAAAAATATTTTATTTAAAAAAATAAATAAAAATAAATTTTTAGTTAAAAAATTTTCACAATTTAAGAAATATATAACAGGTATAGGTAATTAAATTATTATATAGTGTTATTAATAACATATTTTTTATTTTATGTTATAATAATTAAATAAAAATATTAATTAAGATCTTAATAATTTTATTTGAAAACTATATTGTAATATAATTAATATTTTTTTATTATTAAAATTAAATAAAACAAAAATAATAATTTTATTTTTATTAATAATTTAAAATTAAAATTAAAATTTTAAAACTTATTTGATAATATATAATTTTTATTTATTTATTATTTATAGTTATTAATATTTTTATTTAATATATTTATAATTTTTTTAATTGTATTTTTAAATTAATTTCTATTTATTTTAACTATTTAACTTTAACTTTAAATAAATATTTATAAATAGATAGGCCAATATTTAGCTTATTGTATTTATATATAAAAGAAATTTTTTTTATATAATATATATTTTTTATTATATAAATCAAATAAAGAAATAATATTTATTTACAAAAAAAATATTATTATAAAAAATATTAAAACTTCTTTTTTTTTTTTAATAGATAAATATTATTTCATTATTTAATTTATATAATATTAAATATATATTGTGAAAGAAACAACATCTTTCATATGTAATAATACAATAAGTTAAATGCTACCCTGCCTACAGTAACCATTTAACTAATATTGAAAAGAAATTTTAAAACAATATATTTTATTAAGAAACTAAAAATATTAAAACTTTATAAATAATTGTTTTTTAAAATTAATATAAAAATTAAAAAATCAAATTATTTTTAAAAATAATAATTAAAATACTGTATACTTAAAAAAATTATAAATTTTATATTATAAATTATAAAAATATTATAATAAAATAACTTAAAATTTATTTATTTCAAATATATATAAATAGTTATTTATAATTAAACATTTTTTTTATAATTATAAATTATTATAATTAATAAACTATATATAAAAAGTATAATTAAAATAATTAACAAATTGATATTTATAAACTTTATGCACTACCAATTTTTATACTATTTTTTATGAAATAGTTTATTTTTCATAAAGTTTTTATAACAATATATCTTTGCGTTAATCATATGTCATAATCAACTTAAATTCTAAATGTAGATGCTCAACGACCAATCATATGCCGTATGGTCAATAAAATCAAAAGTGTTTTTTGATAACGCTTACTTTACATAGATTATATAAAACAATTTTCTGTTTTATCATGAAATCACAAGAATGGCTTGAGAATGGAGGGGCTAAGGGGCTTAGTTCGCTGCAGTTAGAAGACTTCCTCGACACTGGTCGAGGTGTCAAAACATTACGGTCTCTCAAATCTAATGATTTAATTCTTACAATACCGGGATCCTTTCTTTGGACAGTAGATGCAGCAATTGATGACCCTATATTAGGGCCTGTTATAAGCTCCGTGAAGCCACCATTGTCGACGGAGGATATACTAGCAGTATTTCTTCTTTTTGTAAAGTCACAGGATATAGGATACGAAGGAAGGAAAGCACACACAGAATTATTACCAAAAAACTATACAACTAGTGTGTTCTTTGATGACGAGGAAATTGAAATATGCTCTGGTTCGTCACTTTATCTACTCACTCAACAATTGAAACAGCAAATCCAAAGTGATTATCTTCAGCTACTTAATAACTTATTCTCTAAGCATCTGGACTTGTTTCCTTTGAATAAATTTACAAAAAATGATGTGAGTTTTTTTATAAATTAAATTTAATACTTCTATGTACTAAAACATTAACTATTCATATATACAGTATATGTGGGCTCTTTGCACCATCTGGAGCCGTGCCATGGATTTTCAATTACCTGATAAGCAATTTCGATGCATCGCGCCTTTTGCTGATATGTTTAATCATTCACTTAATGTACAACTTTGTCATATTTACGATCCCCAGTCGGGTAATCTACAAGTGTTAGCCGGAAAGGATTATTCATCAGGAGAACAGGTTGCGTAATGTTCCATTATTTGATGCTCCAATAGTCACTTAAAGGTTGATTCCATATGTCCTAACTTTATATTAAAAGGTCTTTATAAACTACGGCGCCGTTCCCAATAACAGACTTCTTCGCCTCTACGGTTTCGTCCTTCCTGACAATCCACACGACTCTTATGATCTTGTGCTTACTACACACCCATTAGCACCTCTATACACTCAAAAGGTTGCCCTTTTTGCATTGGCTGGTTTGCAAGTCAATTCCACCTTCTCCCTCAAATTCTCTGACCCTTTGCCGTCTGACGTGCTTCGATACTTACGAATTCAGCGTCTGTCATCTTCGGAAATTTCCACAACGGCTGCAAAGTGTGGAGCAAAAGACATGATCAGTGCTCGTAATGAATTAGAGATTTTGAATGCTTTGATTGAAGCATGTGAGGGCATACTGGATGGTTTTGGATCCCCTCTTGAAGAACTCCAAAGAAAAATTGCTTCAGGTGAATATCAGGAAGGAAGTAACTCTTGGGCAGCGGCACACGTCAGTGTTGGCGAGCAGAAAATTTTGAAATTGACATTACAAAAAGCAAAGAGTTTGCGGAGCTGCTTGCCAAGCCTCAATTATGACGTAATTGGGTAGTTACATTTTTAACTTCCGATGCATAAAATAGGTTTTTATTTATAATATACAGTATATTATAAATAAAAAAAACCTATTTGTGTATCAGAAGTTATGAGATTACCTATACTAATATATAAATTTATCAAATATATATAAATTTATTATAAATCTACTTGATTGTACAGATTTAATATTTATATAATAAGATTGATTAAGGCATAAAATATTTGAGAAAGTAATATAGTAAATAAAAATTATATTTTTAAAATTTTTTTTTAAATTTAATTGCATTTGATTGTAAATTATATATAATATGTTTTTTTATTACTGAATATACAAAATATTCAATATATATATAAATATCCACAATATATACATTTAGTTTTTTGTTCTTTTAAATACTAATATTATAAAATATAATAATGATAAAACAGGTTAATTATTAATAAGATTTTTATAGAAATTGTATGTTAAAAATAATTTATATTTTTTAAAAAATCTGGTTTTGTTGTTACAAAGTAAAAACTTATAAAAAATTTTCAACTTTATCAATACAATAGTTTTATAGAAATAATAGAATAAATTATTATCAATAAATTTTCTATTGAATCATTTTATACTAATAAACCATATACAGTATATTATTATATTTAATAACAATAAAATTATTTTTTTATTTTCAAAATTTTTTAATATAATTAAATTAAAAATAAAACAATGTATATAGTTTCAAATAAAATATTATGCTTTTAATAAAGTTTAATATACAATAATAAATTTAAAAAAACAAAAGAATTATAAGATATAAAACAATTTATAATCAGATATTGTATATAAATTCAAAACTATAAAGTTTTATAAGTTATATAATATTAATATATATAAATTATAAATATAAATATATAATATGAATTAGATGTTTAAAATAATCAAATTCTTATAATACAATAACAAATAAATTATATAAATTATACAATAATGAATTAATAACAAGCTTAAATAATTTTTATATCAAATTTGTAATAA